GGCTTGTGGGGGGGACGTTATTGGCTCCTATGTAGCCACAATTATCTTCATAAAGGCCCAATGCCGGTTTCTGAGAGACCTCGCCGGCCGCTCAGGGCCCTAGGTAGTAACGGCCAACGAGGGATTGGCTGCATTGGCTCCACATCCGTCTGTGATAGACACACGGTCCACACAAGTGTTTCTAAAGGCACCCACAACGGCAACTGCGAGGCCCCTCGCCCTACCTCCAAGGGACCCCCACCAGCGCATCTTAAGGGCCTACACCGACGCCTCTGAGGGCCGCGTACCAGTGACTCTGAGGGCCTCTTACCAGCCTCCGAGTGTCCTTGCCAGCCTATGACGGGCCACTTTCCACTTGCAGGCCATTTTGCAGGGCCACACACATGCCAATGATGGCCCCACCAGTGTCTCTAAGCCCTAAGACCCCGCAACGGCGCCTGTGAGGACCCAACACCAGCGCATCTGACGGCCTTTCACTGGCACCTCTGAACGCGCCACACACCGGTGACTCTGAGGAGCTCGCTCGCTTCGCTCGCTCGTAAAATACCATGTAAATTAGGCATTAGTGTACATTAGGCACACTCCTCGGGCATAAATGATACTTTTGCTTGCCAATTTTCCACATTTTCTCATGCAAAGACCGTTTTAAAGAGACCCGTCTGCCAGTGAGACTGGACCCACCGTGCCTCCCTCCTCCCATCGAAAGGTCCTGGGTACATCCTTGCCTGAGCTGACCCCGGGCGCCCGGGTGACTCGCGGGCCCGGGGTCAGGTGACCAGCAGGTGACCCCCTCTTGGGCGAAATTCTGGGTACGTGTCCGACATGCATCGTACATAGTCCTGTTGATTTGATTCATTGGTTAAGCATTAAATATAAGTTATAAGCTGGATCTCTAGTCTGTGATCCCGCATCGTATCAGATATAATGACATTTCATGTCGATGTGCCTAAAAAAATATGCGAATATACGTGAAAAAGGAGTGCTGCTCCCGCTCCTACACATCCGGGCCAAACAGTGGCCGGCTCCTGCTTCTAGCCAACCGGGGCCGGTCGGCCGGCCGGCAGTCAGTCGCTGCCCGGGGCTGATTTCTGAGGGACCTGCAAAAATGTTTATTAATGAAATGTTTTACGTAATAAATTAGATGATTAGGTATATGTACCGGCTCTGAGTCGCATTTGAGAAAAAAACAGCCTAGCGTAAAAATATATATGTTTTGAAAATTAAGCTGGTACCAAAATAATTGTTTTACCATGCATTGACAAATCAATTGCTCAAGCTTCAAACCAACCGAAATATAGCCCCGTGGGCCGTATTTTTTTTGGGGGGGGGGCCCTTCGGCATGGGGGGCCCAGTTCGAAGGTCGTGCCCCCCCTATTCAAAAATCCTGTGTGCGCGCCTGGTGCGTGCAATCATTTGTCTTATTAAATTTTGGTGGGGGTGCGCTCGGCGGTTTGCACGTGGCGGGCCAGGGGTGTCGATTTGTGAAAATGGTTGGGGGTGCCCAGAGCTTTAACCCTCACCCGTATACATTGGGGGGGGGGTCGAACGGACCCCCCCCCCGGTTTTTCGCGAATAACTCGCGTAGAAAGCGCCCGATCACGACGAAACTTTCAGTAGTGCCCTCGTGTTCATCAATTTTCGATGGCTTCGATAGCATTCGATAGCTCTTTCAACGCTCTTTCGCCAAAGTAGTCCTCAGATTTGACCTCAGGTCATCGGCTTAGCATAAACTCTCCAGAGGGCAAAAACTCCAGTAATAGTTGTTGTGGCGGGAACTAATTTAGTGGCGCTGACCGCGCAGCCGATTGGCGCGGACGCGCAATTATCGTTTGAGTTTTACGCCTTTGTTGATAGTGTTGGTCGTTGCGTTGATTATGTTTTGATATCACGATCGACACTTAGTTAGTAATATGTTTGGTTCGAAATGGCTTTGTTCAGTTTCGATCCTTTATTTCACATAATCCGTTCACCCCCTCTCTTTATGATTGTCAACTGTTTTGGGTCGTAAGGACAAAGAGGTGTCGAGTCACCTCTAGAGCTTCTTCCGTTTTTGACCTTGGCCGAGATAGTGCCATGTGACTTTCTGTTGTGTGTGTTGGGGGAATAAACCGCAAGCGAGGCGGACGCAGGTTTGTCCAAACCTCCCCCCACACCGAGGGCACAACAAGTGGCGACGAGGATGAGATTCGAACTCACGCGGGGAGCCCCGCCCCACGCCAGTGCGCACCCGCTCCTCGGCACTCAGAAGTCCTGCTCACAGCCGCTGTCCAACCCCAAAGTGTACCGCCCCGGCAGGTGAGCCAGGACCCCGTCGAAGTAGGCGGGGTCGCAGAGGCCCAGATCGGTTCACTCCGGGCGAGTAGCGTTAGGATTGGGCTATCATCGTAAGTTACGTTTGATAGCTGTGAGTGTAATGGTTTCCGCGGATAGTGGGAGGCTTAAGAAGCGGGAGTGTTTCCCATTAAAGAGAGGGGTGGTGTTGTGGCGGGAACTAATTTAGTGGCGCTGACCGCGCAGCCGATTGGCGCGGACGCGCAATAATCGTTTGAGTTTTACGCCTTTGTTGATAGTGTTGGTCGTTGCGTTGATTATGTTTTGATATTACGATCGACACTTAGTTAGTAATATGTTTGGTTCGAAATGGCTTTGTTCAGTTTCGATCCTTTATTTCGCATAATCCGTTCACCCCCTCTCTTTATGATTGTCAACTGTTTTGGGTCGTAAGGACAAAGAGGTGTCGAGTCACCTCTAGAGCTTCTTCCGTTTTTGACCTTGGCCGAGATAGTGCCATGTGACTTTCTGTTGTGTGTGTTGGGGGAATAAACCGCAAGCGAGGCGGACGCAGGTTTGTCCAAACCTCCCCCCACACCGAGGACACAACAATAGCCACTTATGAAAGTATTTTTTTCTGCCATAGCTTTTTACTCGAGAAAGTCATGACATTTATTTTGCCAGCCATCATGTTCTTCTTATCAAGACGCGTCGAATAAACTATAGTTTGACCTTGAAATTTCATTTTGAAATTTAACCCCGGGTCAAGGTCAAGACCTGACCGGAAAAGGTTATGTTGCATGTCAGTCGATCCGTTCAGTCGATCATCGCTCTAGCATGCGCCTAGCAGAAGTTATTAACGAAAAACTGTTGGCTCCCTTTTGTGAACTGATATGACCTCAGGGATATAAGGAAGGGTCACGTCATTTTCACGTCGGGTGTCATTTTCCAGTTCAGTGTGTCATGTTGAATTGTTAATAGGTGTTTGGAAGTGTTCAGAATGTCGTCCGTCCAGAAAAAAACGCATTTTAATTTTCTTCCATTGACACTGATGATAGATATCGGACTTTCGTCCCCGTCTTGAGGTGAGATGTTCGTTTGTCTGGCCGCTATGTCTGCCTCGAGCGGTGGAGTATTGGTTACAACTGCCGCATATCACCGGGGCAACCCTAGATCATTTCCCGCTGACCACAGGAGCTTTCGATAAGGTATGACGCGTACGGCGCAACGCCACCAACACCCAAGATCTTTCTATGGACCAAAGAACAACTGACGACGGCCGGAGAAGTAACCAGCCGAAATGTTGTGAAACTAACATCTCAACTTAAGACGGGAACGAAAGTCCGACAACTAACATCCGTGATACTAATGCCTCGTCTCAAGCATTCCGAAGAATTATCCCATGGACTTATAGCCTATAGGTAATGGGGATGTGGTAAAATTGACCTGACCTTAGGTCACCGGTATCGAAGTTTCGAGATATACATTTTGTACAAACTGTTGGCCTTATCAATCGGTGAAATTTTCAAAGCAATCAGCCACTGGGTGTGGGTATGACAGACATTGGTACTTCAATCGTTATTCGTGAAAAAAACTGTCTACCTTAAGCGCCGCTATTTTGACTTGCTTACCCCGGTGACGTCATTTTTACCTGACCTGAAAATGACCTCAGTAAAAATTGTAGACTTTATCCGTTTGTATCCCATGCCATTTACCGCTTGTTTCTATCTTGCTTCGTTCGCTTGATATCACGGGGAGCAGGTATCCGCCCCCCGTCGGTGTGAAGTTGGCGCGGAACGCGGATCCCCGTTGGTGCGCATGTTAAACCATGATATTTCGGACCAAAAGAATATCTCGCCACTCAAAGCAAAACTTCAGGTCTCAGGACGTCCGGAACCGAAAACCCATTGACGCGGCACGAATGCGTCGCTGGCTACCAAATGCTGCTGTCTGGTATAAATAAAGCGAAAAATTGTTTCCATTTTTTTACAACGCATTCTGATGTACGGTTATCAGAGCAGGGGCGCGGGAACTACTTTCAGACTGGAGAAGGGGGGGGGGCACACCATAATTGAAATCAACCTAGGGTATACCCAAATCTAGTTTTCTCACCGGTTTTTCATCCCTTGGCGTTTTCATCAAAAAAGAAAACATTGGCAAAAAAGTGCGATATATTCCGTCTGAAATCTGTGGGGGCACCGCACCCACGGCCCTAGAGTTGGGGGAGGGGGTAAACTGTCCCCGACTTCCCACTGCCCCCCCCCCCGTTCCCGCGCCTATGATGTAGTTGCCGCTGTGCGGAGGCGCGTCCGGTGCAGGGCGCGCGTGCGAGTTATCGCGTGCGGCTGGTATTTGTTGTGGAAAATGTATGAGCGGCCAGTGGTCGGCGGCAGTGAGAGCGGGAGGGAGCGGCGTGGGGCGGCCGCCGAGCGTTGTTTTTGCAAAGTCGGTTTATTTTCTGTGCGAGTTTAAATACAAGCTATTTCGGCATTATGGCGACGAACGTGACAGTGTCATTGGACCAGGTTCCGGTGATGGCAAGTGCAGTGGCGCCGACAATCGTCCCGCGACCGGTGACAACGCCGGTGCCGGTTGGTGATGGTGGTGTGCCAGACTCGGCACCCGTCTCACAGCCTGTGGTCGCGGTACCTTCGGCACCTTTTGATGCGCGGCTGATACCGGAGTTTGACGGGACCGAAGATGTGGTCAGCTGGCTGGCGCGTGCTGAGATGCTGCGCCAGTTGAGGGGAGTGGCCGCCGAGACTGTGATTCCTCTGCGCCTCGCTGGCGGTGCTTTCCACGTATGGTCCCAGCTGCCGGCGGCCAGTCGCTGCTCGCTGACGGCCGTGAGAGACGCCCTCCAGGCGGCGTTTGCTCTCGATGAGTACGCCGCCTATGAAGCGTTCGCCGCTCGGCGACTGATGCCAGGAGAGTCGGCGGACGTATTCCTCGCTGACCTCCGCCGGCTGGCGGCGCTGTTCGGAGGAGTGCCGGAGCGAGCGCTGGCATGCGCATTCGTGGCAGGCCTGCCGGACAGCGTCCGGCAGATGATCCGTGCTGGCTGCCGGGCAGATGGACTGGACCTGTCGTCGGTGCTGGCGCGCGCTCGCGCTGTACTGACCGACGAGCGGCTCTCCGCAGCAGCAGCAGCGGCGCGTCGGACTGTGCCGCCGCCGGCTAGCCACCCACCTGCGGCGCCTGGTCCCGGCCAGCCGCCGGTGCCGACGCGTGGACGGCCTCCGCGCGTGCCGCGTCCGCTGAGATGTTGGACCTGCGGAGAGCCCGGGCATATCGCTGCGAGATGTCCGCGTCGGTCGGAAAACGGGGCCGGAGGGGACGGGTCAGCACCGCCGTTCTCTCCTGCGCGACAGTGAGCGGTGCGCTGCCGATTACACGCCTGCACGTGGACGGACGAGAGTGCACGGTCCTCATCGACACCGGGAGCACCGACACCATCATCTACGCGCCATTCTGTGCGCAGTGGAGACGACGGGTGGTGCGCGTCACCACGATCAGCGGCGACGACCTGAAATGCAGCGGCATTGGCAGTGTAACGGTCGAGGCGCCGACGGGCCATCGTGCCGCGCTTGAAACGCTGGTGGTGGAGGAGCGGCCGCTCGGCGTGGATATGGTGCTCGGGGTCAGCGGTATCTCGGCTCTCGGGGGCGTGACGGTGCTGTCCCCCTCTGTGGTGCGGTTCTGTGGAGCAGTGTGCCGTGCGCCGCCAGACATTGAGACGCCGGACTTCCGGGTGCAGTTCAACGCGGCTGACCGGAAGTGGTCGGTTGCATGGAAATGGTCTGATGGGATAGGACCCCAGTGCCTCACGAACGCTGTGCCGCAGTATGCTGTGCCGCCCGCCGCTCGTCACGAGTTCGAGACAGAACTTGACGACTGGATAGAGCGGGAGTGGCTCGTGCCGTATGACGAGCGGCGGCAGGGGCCGCCGAAAGGGTTGGTGCCGCTAATGGCTGTGGAGCAGCGCAATCGGGGGAAAGTTCGACCGGTGCTGGACTACCGGGAACTGAATGACTTTGTGCAGGCTCACACAGCTGACAGCGACGTGTGCGCGGAACAGCTCCGCAAGTGGCGCCGGCACGGCGCAAATGTGGCGGTCGTGGACCTGAAGCGTGCCTACCTCCAGCTGCACCTGGAGGAGCGACTCTGGCCGTTTCAGACAGTGATGGTGCGGGGGCAGCGATTCTGCTTGACCCGCCTAGGTTTTGGTTTGAATATCGCGCCCCTCGTGATGAAGGCTGTCGTGCGTGCTGTGCTCGATCAGGACCCCGACATCGGGCGTGCCGTCCTCCCATATGTGGACGATCTCCTTGTAAATGAGGACATTGTCAGTGCCGAGCGCGTGGTGGCGCATTTCGCGCAGTTTGGGCTGGACTGTAAGCCGCCGGAGCGGGCGGCCAGTGGAGCGCGGCTCCTGGGCCTGCGGGTGCATGAGGAGAACGGACAGCTGCGGTGGAAGCGGGACAATGCCGTGAGCGCGCCGCCAGAACGTGTGACTCGCCGATCTGTGTTCGCGTGGTGCGGACAGCTAGTGGCCCACGTGCCAGTGTGTGGGTGGCTTCGACCCGCGGTTGCATGGCTTAAGCGGCGTGTAAATGAGCTGACGCGCGGATGGGACGACATCACTGATGACTCCGCGCTGCGCGTGCAGATGGACTGTATCGCGAGTCGCCTCGCCAGTGACGACCCGGCCCGTGGCGTGTGGTGTGTCGACGGGGACGAGGTGGTCGCCTGGACAGACGCCAGCTCGCTGGCCACCGGAGTGGTCCTGGAAAACACAGACGGTGAGGTGATCGAGGACGCATGCTGGCTCAGGCGAGACGACGCTGTACACATAAATATGGCCGAACTCGATGCCGCTATTCGAGGCATCAACTTGGCTGTTGCGTGGGGCGCACGGAGAATCGACCTCCGAACCGACTCGGTGACGGTGAAGCGGTGGATCGACGACGCAATCAGTGGCCGCGCGCGCCTCCGTACTAAAGCCAGCGGTGAGCTGCTCATCCGACGGCGTGTGGCGATTATCCGTCAGCTGGTCATCGAGCTGGAGCTCCGTCTGACCGTGGCGCTCGTTCGATCGGCGGATAATCGCGCTGACGCACTGACTCGAGTGCCCAGGGAGTGGCTCCGAGACGATCTGACGACGACAGTGAGCGCGGCAGCCGTGAGCGCGGCTGGCGAGCCGTCGGCAGTGAGCGCAGCTGCTGTGAGCGCGGCTGCAGCGGGCGAGCCGTCGGCAGTGAGCGCGGCCGCTGTGAGCGCGGCTGCAGCGGGCGAGCCGTCGGCAGTGAGCGCGGCCGCTGTGAGCGCGGCTGCAGCGGGCGAGCCGTCGGCAGTGAGTGCGGCCGCTGTGAGCGCGGCTACATCGGACGAGCCGTCGGCAGTGAGCACGGCGGCTGTGAGCGCGGCTGCATCGGGCGAGCCGTCGGCAGTGAGCGCGGCCGCAGTGAGCGCGGCCGCAGCGGGCGGGCCGTCGGCAGTGGGAGTAGCTGCCGCGGGCGAGCCGGCAGTGAGCGCAGCCGCGGTGGGTGAACCGTCGGCAGTAAGCGCGGCCACAGCGGACGAGCCGAACGCTGTAAACGCGAGCCTCGATGGTGCAGAGAGCGTGGCTGAAGTGCACGAGCGAGCTGGTCATCCGGGCGTCCGACGGACATTGTATTTTGCTCGCCGATGTATCGGCCGCGTCTCGAGAGACCAGGTACGCGCTGTGGTGACAAATTGTGATGTCTGTCGAGCGATCGACCCGGCTCCAGTAAAGTGGCGACACGGGTCGTTGGGTGTACCACAGACGTGGCACAGACTGGCCATTGATATAACTCATTATGGGGGCCATCCGTACCTCAGTGTAATCGACTGCGGGCCGTCGCGGTTCACTGTGTGGCGGCCGCTGCGACGGCAGGACAGTGTGTGCGTTATTCAGCGGCTGGAGGAGATATTTTTTGATCGAGGAGCTCCGGCGGAGCTGTTGTGTGATAACGATCCTGTGTTCCGCGGCCGACCGTTTGCCGTGCTCGCCGCGCGCTGGGGAGTGGCGGTGAGGTTCCGGGCGGCCCATGCACCGAGCGGGAACGGTGTCATCGAGCGCTGCCACCGGACAGTGAAAGTGATCGCCGCCCGGAAACGGTGCGATATCGCCGAGGCGGTGCACTTGTATAATGTGACGCCGCGTGACGGCGAGGCGGTGGCCAGCGCCCCGTTTAGTGGCGTGTACAGAGGGGTGTTCACGGGCACCGCACACTGCTGCGTGCGGTGTGTGCGGTGCGTCCAGCAGGCGTGGGGGTAGGGGATGGGTAGGCGGTTCTGACGTCACGGCTGCGTGCGGTGGACGGTCCGCTGTGGCCAGTCCCGACCGGCCACAGCGATCGCTGTGTGCGGTGACGGAAGGCTGACGTAGGGACGCAGTGGGCGGAGCTTGGAGGCTGTGTGCGGTCCGACCGCACACAGGGCCCGTGAACAGCCCTCAGGTACGAGCCGAGTGACTGTGTGCGGTTGCCGGCTGCTCCGCCAGGGACGGCCGCGGACGGTGGTGCCGGGGCGCGGGAGCTCCCTGCGGTGGAGACGGGCCCATACACAGTCGGAGACGCGGTGTGGGTGCGCCGACGGGGGACGCGCTGCACGGAGCCGTCCCGCCGGGGTACCGTCACGGCGGTGGTCTCTCCGCAGGTTGTCGATGTGGACGGTATGCCACGACACGTCAGGGATTTGCGGCGGCGCAGAAATAGTGAGCCACCCCCATGTGCTGAAATTGACGCGGACGACCCCATCTACGTGATGGATCCCCCGTCTCTCCCAGTCCTCCAGCCGGCTCCAGTTGAGCAGGGGCCGGAGTTATGCGACGCTCCAGCGCCGGAGCCTCCTGCCGTGGCTCCTCGGCGAAGTCAGCGCACCCGCCGTCCTCCGCAAGGATGTTTCTGTGAGGGATGTAAATGATCCTCAGGATCAGGGGGAGGTGTAGTTGCCGCTGTGCGGAGGCGCGTCCGGTGCAGGGCGCGCGTGCGAGTTATCGCGTGCGGCTGGTATTTGTTGTGGAAAATGTATGAGCGGCCAGTGGTCGGCGGCAGTGAGAGCGGGAGGGAGCGGCGTGGGGCGGCCGCCGAGCGTTGTTTTTGCAAAGTCGGTTTATTTTCTGTGCGAGTTTAAATACATATGAATTAGAGAAAACAATGCGTTCAAAGAATCTTAACAGTGATGCCAGTACCAACTTTGGTTGGGGGTGCCCAGAGCCCCTTGGGGGGTGCCCAACTCAGCATTGGGGGTGCCCGGGCACCCCCAAAAGTATACAAATCGACACCTATGTGGCGGGCGCATATTTGCGGCATTTTGGGCTGCGGCCGGCTTCGAGCAGACCTTCGAGAAACAACAAGTGCTCTAGGTTCAGTTTCTTCGCTTGCAAAACTGAGCGAAATCAGAGCCGGCGGGTAATTGACCTTTGGCAATGAACACTGGCGCAGGGCACCGCCGGCCAAGAGGAGATGTCAAATTTATTCTTGCAATAACTCGGCCGCTGCTGGGCCGATTTGAATGAAACACGATTTATTACGCTGCGTGTAATGCTTGGCACCTAGTGGGACATTAAATTTAAAAAGCATTTCAAAACTGAACGGCATAGTCTGTTATCACAATGAAGTTAAATGTTATCATATTTAGGCGCCCCTAAACAATTGATCGACGCATATTTTTTTATGTTTGTGTGTTTTGACTGACGTAACCCGCGCTGGGCGGGACATGTATTTGGTACACCTTTTTACGTATTTTTCTGAACATGATGTTCAAAATTGCATACCTTGATCTTTCAAGATCAGGTCACCAGGTTACCTCAAATGACCTTTCCACGGGAAGAAAATGATAATCCTCGCCATCAAGCTACGCCAACTGAATGATCGCTTGAAACGTTTAGCGATTGATAACAGTAACAGTATTTGTAAAACATTCGTCTCAGGATTATGATATCGGTGACCTAAGGTCATGTGAATTTTGTGATCTACCCATAATCAATTGTAGAACATTGAACTGCCCTTTTTCATCAAAGGCATGATTAACACTTTTAACATCGGGTAATATGTAAACATGACATATTAATTCGGAACATGCACCCACGACCTCTGGGGTCATGCTCCTGGGCCCAATCTTATAAACGCCGTGAAATGGATATGGCAGCACTCTAAGGCTGGATATATAGTACGCAATCTTATAAAACTCTGTGAAATCGAAAACACGGCACGCTCTTTATGGCATTGGTAGCCGCTGGTTTTGAGGATGCCATAGAATGATTTTAACCGTGAGCAGCTGTACACATCTCAAAACACCGACAATCATCAGCTGTTTGCGGTTTCAGCGGCGTCCATTTCACGCCAGAATTTGTGGCGTACTTTGACGAGCTTCTCAGACAGTCTAATTGATTTAACCCTCACCCATGTAGGGGGGGGGGGGGGTTGGTGCAACCCCCCCCCCCCTGAGGTTTTTCTTAGCTAGACGCCGAACCGTTTCAGATAGCCTACTCAAATTTTCAGTACCCTTTGGGGCATCCTTTGCGCAACTTTTGGTATTTTTTTTGTCAAGGTCATGTCAGGTCACGGAGTTATGACGTCATGAAGGGAACAACCTCCGGCCAGATTTACGCTAAATTGGAGATTGCTTCACATTGATATAAATGCCGACTGACCTGACACACTGATGGATTGTTTTAGAATCACAACTGGCTGATTGGACATTGGCACAATGTCCGTTGACATTTTGAAGGTTACTAAAGGTCAAGGTAAGGTCAGTGACCTCGGTTGACCTGTAATGACTTCTTGCACTTGTATGCCTTTTCGGGGTATTTTGATGCCCTGAATTCGAATTTGCTATCCATTTCAGGCATCGTCGATTGTTTCTTGTAGTTCATTTTGGGTCAGGGTCAGGTCAGTGACGTCACACGCCTGACGTGACCCAATGCACAAATGACCTTGCAGACTTCCGATGCTCCCAACGCATCATTTTTAGAGTTATGACATCGAAATACACACCAAACGATAGAGAATTGATCAAGGATCACGATAGTGAAGGTTTCAAGCCGATATCTCTTACCGTTTTGCCGCAATCGGCGCGGAAATCTGAAAAAGTTAGATTTTTTCCGAAAATTTGACCTTTGACCGGTCAAAAGTAGGTCAAATGTTGACCTAGGACCAAAAAATATACCACCAATCGCGAGATCTCGTTGAGAGCAATCCGTTGGTCTTTTCCGCTAAGCTCTACGACGCTCCGTTTTCAAACGCCAGGGGGGGGTCGCACCAACCCCCCCCCCCCCCTGCATGGGCGAAGGTGGCAAAACACCGTTTACGGGCGAGGGTTAAGATAAATTCCATGTTTTTATGATACAGGGTCTTTCATAATGAATGTTACTTTTTTTCTTTTTTTATAAATTTAGTCCGAATGGCTGAATGGGCGGATTTGAGGAATCAGAGCCCGCACTAAGCATAGCTTGTTGTGCTGACCCTGACCCCACCACCCGATCGCGCAATTCCAGTTGTATGGCAGAATTTTGTCCGAACGTTTAACGTGCCCTCACGACTGGACACGGTCCCCTCCGCTCACTCACGTTACCTGGCTTCTGTGCGGCCCCTGCCACAGACACGCACGCCATTACACGTAGGAGCTAAATGTGGCCGCCCGCACCGGGGCATGAACCGGGCTCTCACTTCCGGCTAAGTGTCGAATTCCGGCGCTTTTATCCACTCGGCCACGGAGAGGAGAGGAGTTACTTTTGAACATCTAGTTAGGATCTCTTAATTTATCACTTCCGCGTGAATTTTATATGCGTATTGTTGCAAATTGATTAGGGTTTTGTCCCAAAAAAAAATCAAAAAAATCACAACGCCAATTTTCCTTCACTCAAAAGCAGAGTATGTCGACACCACTAAAACGCATTACGGATTACGGTCGACGGACAAGTCTTCATCCATTGGCTCTCCCCTGGGTCAACACTGAACGGGGTGGCTTACCTCAGGCTGCTCAAGGAATGCTTCTGCCTCAGGTCAGGGACAAGGTTCAAAGAGACGGCCTGTGGTTCCAGCAGGATGGT